TGCTCATAGGGGGTCATATGATTGTTGGGCTTTTCTCTGTATCTATGAAGTGCCTTGAGGCGACTTATGTTGTGATTTGGCGCTATATAAATAAAATTGAATTGAATTGAATTGAATTAAAGATATGCACATCTTACCAGACATTCAGTCTTTTACCAAACACCTTAATGCTGTTGAGGTGTGTGATGGCCCTGTCCACAGCATACTCATCTCCCATCTCAACCAACGCTGTGCCAGGAACACTCTTCATAAACTTAACCTATAACAAGCACATAGATAACAGCTGTTCTAAAGAGGTACCATACATTGTGAAAGCAGTGTACATGTTTTACTGATGTAAACATTCCTTCATGTTAACCATTAGAAGACACAGTGTACATTAGAGGACATTTGGAAGGCTATCTAAAGTCAGGATATTTTACACTTGTGCTTTTTTGTGACATCAGGTAGTAATTTGCACAATCCACATTGGAGAATATAGGTATTCTGACTGTGTCATGAAATCAACATACTCTATGAGAACACTGAATGGGTTTGATGTTTGGGGAAGTTCTCTAAGTGTTACAGGAGCAGCAGAATCTATTCGTTATTTTGTTATAAGGTAGCGATGAGCAGATATGGAAATATTATTAACCCTCTCAAGGCAGGCGTTGCCGATTTGCAACAGTTAAAAACTAACAACCTGATTACCCCACATACATATTTTATGAGTTTTTTTAGAAGTACCACTGCAGGACTTGGTTGTGCATTAGGAACAAAAAGTTTAATTTGAGCCTGAGAGGGTTAAAGTGCTGGGAGTAATTTATGGCATACCGAAAGTGAACAGGAGGAGGCAGATAATTAAACCCTAAAGTTAAAATTTCAATTGTATGAGAAAACAATGTAAACAATCTCTGATATCACATTAAAAAAGGAGAATCAGACCTATGTTTGGTTTGCAGGGGTACATCACATGTCCTGACATTAAACAGAATTCAATGACACACAAGCACATGAGTGACAACAAGAAAACGGATAGTACATTTCTAAATAATGCAGTAGGTGTTGATGTACAGAGGTCTAATCCCATTCAATATACTGTCATTTACTTGTGAGTAGGACTGAAGGGCCAGGATATGATAGACACACACACAAGTTTGCTTCCACTGGAATCTTTTTATTGTTTTTACTAGCTTTTACCAGCACAATTTCTACAACCTAATTATTAATTAATTGTTAATAAAATTAACAGCTGTTGCCGTGTTTCTACAAAAACACGCCAAAGACACATGAAGAATACACAAACAAACACTTACCTTCTCAATGTTGCCGTAGAGGCAGAAGAGGTTGAAGATGCGGGTGCAGTTCATCTTGGATGGATGGAGGCCACTTACCATGGCAACAGAACTGGGGGCATGGCCAGAGTATGACGAGGATGACTGCGGCAGTGGATAAGACACCATGTCTGGAACGTCCAATGAAGTGAGCTTGTACCTGCTGTTGCCGGGCAGTGGCAGCAGGGGACATGGTGGACCTGGGAAGGCACACATCAAAACAGTCGCTGTCTTGCAAGAACAATGAAAGGCTGTCTGCACCAATCCAATTCTGAACCACTTCATGCGCCACAGGTGAATAAGTGAGCGCACACTCACAACCAACATGTCATTGGCATGGAAGCTCTTTACTGTGAGTGATGAATCAAAGTACGCCAAAGTAAACTGTGGGGTGACCACCACAACGACAAATGTATCAACAAAACTAATCAGACACTTAAATCACCCCCAACCAAGCAGCAACATAGGAAGACAACTGAAAATGAGAAAAGGATTGATGCCCTGTTATGACTTTGGATGACGTGCCCTAGTTTTGAGATGTGTCATCATCTCTGGATCAGTGTTGGCTTAGGCTAGTGATGGTGATGTGGGAATGTCAGCCTGCTACATCAGATACAGGTATGCCTCTACAAGTGTGCACCCTCTGTTTGGCTGCCTTTTCCTTAGCTGTAGCCTGGATCTGTTAGGATGCCTGGGTCGTTGACCCAGAGTTTTGAGTTTATTATGTTACTTATCATTTCTAGTCTTTGGTTTCTTTGTTGGAGTTCTGTCTTATGGTTTATGTCTCTGTGTTCTCTAGTTGCTGTCTCTCTGTGTCCAGTCAAGAGTCTGTGTCTATAGTTCAGTCTGTGTTATGTTTCCTGTTTTACTTTGAAAATCCGTGTCTCATGTAAATGTGTCTGGTTTTGCTTCCTTTGTCTCGTTAGGCCTGATTTGCCCCAGCTGTGTTTCCCTCCTGTTGTCCATTCCCTGATTGCTCTGTGTGTATTTAAGCCCTGTGTTTCAGTTTGTCATTGTCGTGATCTACTGTTATCTTGCTGTGTGGTTTGTCTGTGTAAGTGCATTTTGTTTTCTTAGTTTTTGTTACCCTTTTGAGTTCAGCATTAAAGCTGTTTTGAGTTACTTTCTGTCTCCGGAGTCTGCACTTTGGGTCCTTCTCCTGCCTGCACACAGCCATTTCATAACAGGATCTTGTTATAAAAGCAGTGAATGTATAACAAGATCCAACATCTGCAGATGAAAGTTTCGGCCTGTCTCAGCAATGCAAAACCTCCAGCTTCCAACATCAGCATAAAGAAGAGGAAGCCACTCTCATTGCTTAGTAATGACAACAACATTGTCACCCTTCAGACAGACATGTGTAGGTGCAAGGAAAGACTATCATGAGAAGATTTTGTCACTGCTCAGTGACAAAAATACTTATGAGCCCAGGTCTCAGAAGAGGGTGATTGATTGTCTGAACCAGGAAGAACAGGGCGATGCTATTGACTGGACCTCATACCAAATGCTTTATCCTGGGGATGCTACACCAAGGCTGTATGGTTTACTGAAGACATAAACATCGTGCACCTTTAAGACCAATTGTCTGTATGATCAACTCTGTCCTCCATTGGAGGTAGTTCATAAGAGATTACAAGATGACCCTGACCTCAGCAAGAGGATCACTTTCAGCACCAACTACTGTAAGTACTACACCCAGAAACATGGGTGTGCCATGGGTTCCCAAGTTTCACCAATTGTGGCCAACTTATACATGGAAAAAGTCCAAAAGAAGCTTTTGTATCCTACCCTGGAACACCACAAAGTCACTGATTTTCAGCTATGTGGATGACACCTGGGTGAAAATCAAATCTCAGGACGTTCCACATTTAACGGATTACATTAACTCGGTGGACCAACAAATCAACTTCGCCAGGGAGGATATGAAAAGTGGGAGGCTAGCCTTCTTAGACTGCGAGATTTCCATCAGTAATGGGGGACATCTAAAAGCTGACGTGTACCGTAAACCTGCACATACGGATCAGTATCTAAGGTTTGACTCTCATCATCCACTGGAGCACAAACTGGGTGTCATCAGGACGAGCGAACACCATTCCCACTGACACAGCGGCCAGGGAGGCAGAAGAACATCACATCAAGAAGGCCCAGAGGATGTGGTTATCCCAGCTGGACTTTTGTCAAAGCGGGGAAAACTCCTAAAGAAAGCTCCAGGCGATCCAGGAGAGAAGGACAACCGCTGCCTAAGCGAAAACCTTTAGTAATCTCGTTTGTCAGAAGTATCGGAACAGCTGAGGTGCATGTTCTCTAAACACTGTATCTCTGTGGCTTTCAAAGGATACATCTTTCACCATCTTACAATGCTGTGATTGCAGCCATTCCCTAACTCTCTGTGAATGGTACTCATGGCCATTGATCATGCCCATTTTGCCAATGACAATTTACAAAATAATAACCATGAAACTGACCTTACGGCCTATTGTTAGTCGGTGGTGCTAGTGTCTGTCATTATGCAAATGTACCGTTGGGGAAACCTGCAGTCAGCTGAGACTGAAGAAGTCACTTGAACTTTCTCCCACTGAAAACGCTACATAGAGATGAAGAGAATAGACTTTTGGGGATTTCCTTACCTGGATGACTGAGCATGCATCAAGATATTTACTTGGACATTTTCCTACTAACTGCTCTACTGTAGTTCTGGCAGCACTAAGTGCTTGGAGGGACTTCTTGTTTGGAGAGCGCTCATATTTAGCTATTGGAGCTCAGTTTACTTAGAAAACAAGAGTAATTGTGCTGGACCTGGCTTCAAACCAATCACTGTTCTTAGAGGTCTTCGTCCCAAAGGTAGCAAAGGCTATTCTGTTTTCTGAGTTGTGCTGTTGGGCTACAGACAGAGCTTTTGTAAGTTTGGGGGGATCTTGGCAAATTCATCTACTACTACTGCATCTGGGAATCAATGCAACCTCAACTTGCAACACACTGGTAAGTGGTCAGTGGCCAGCTATGTTCTTTGTCCTTGAAAGTATCTGAATTAGCTAGGCGCATTTCGTCCACCTGTCCACCTGTACATGAAACCACTGACTGGCAACTGAGTATATCATTCCAATGACAAAAAAAGTTATAAAGTTAGACATATTTAATCTTTCTCAAAATATTTCTCCAGGTAGTCTATTGTTAAATTGCAGCAAAGAATAAAAACACAGAGAAGAAACTGTACTGAAAACATCTCGGCTTGATTTGAAATAAATTTTGTTTGTGTGCTCTACAGAGTGCTTTTTAAAATTTGTTGATTTTGTTGATCTTTACTTCTGAGAAGTAAAGATGGGAGAGGGTCCTAACCCAAACCCAGTCATGTTGCTGACCTGTTATAAGTGAACCTAATTGGTTGCAAAATATTCCTCCAGCTGTTTCCTTTTAGCATTTTATTGCTCCATCCCAAATTTTTTTCATATGTTGCTACTATGAAATTTAAAATGCAGTAACATTTCTCTTAAAATGGTAAATTTTCTCATTTTAAACATTAGACATGCTTTTTATGTGTAACTGTGAAGATGCAAGGAGCAGAGACAATAATTCAATTTATTTCCATTCAAATTTATTTATATAGCGCCAAATCACAACAACAGTCGCCTCAAGGCGCTTTATATTGTACAGTAGACCCCATAATAATAGATACAGAGAAAAGCCCAACAATCATATGATCCCCTGTGAGCAAGCACTTTGGCGACAGTGGGAAGGAAAAACTCCCTTTTAACAGGAAGAAACCTCCAGCAGAACCAGGCTCAGGGAGGGGCGGGGCCATCTGCTGCGACCGGTTGGGGTGAGAGAAGGAAGACAGGATAAAGACAAGTAAGTTTAAGTATCATGTAGAATACATGTACTGGTGTTACGTATTTAAAATACAAAATATGAGTAACTGTATTCCGTTACAGTTATCGTTTAAAAAGGTGATAATTAGAATACAGTTACTTTGTTGAAATAAATGGATTACACAGCGGTCTTTTCCTGTTTCATATGCTAGGCTATCCCCTCAATATCCCCTTTCTATTTTTGGTAATTCCATGCATTGCCGGAAACCCAAACAAAACACGAAATAAGAGTCTCTAATGTAAGCATCCTGTTAATGTTGGTGGCGTCAGTTACACAATGGACCCAGAGCCAGCGCAACGTGCCAGCAGTGCACAGGCAGGAATGCATTTCTAACTTGGAAATTCCAACACCACTTCACATTTAAAGAAGAAAGGGATGAAGGGCGAAATCTGACCGTGCGAACTCTCTTTGCCAGCAACCAAGCTGCTCTCAGCGTCAAAAGACTCCAACCTAAAGAAACATCTGGAATTTCTTTTTTAAAAACTACGTTAGCCTACTGCAACTAACTTGTTTTAGTTGTGATAGCTGCCTGGGTTATGTACCACTTAAGTATCTTTGATGTACTATTGCTGTGTGATTTATTACTATTACTGAAGGCTACTCACCACTGAGCTAACATTGTTAGCTGCCGTTAGCTTAGGTCTACCTAGAAAAGAGCTGAGGAGAGCCATGGATGGGCGTCACCTAGCAGCCACTGTGCAGAAGCCAGAGAGGGCTGTAGCGACGAGCCTGCAGGCTCCACCGAGTCTCGGGCCCAGAAACCCAAAGGCCATTCACACCCCAGACGGGGCCCGACAGACCATGGAGTCTGGGAGTGAGCCACTACATACCTCAGCACCCAGTCCTGGACACCAAGAACCAGCCACCAGCGGGTGGGGGCACCAGCCACTGAAAGGGAGTGTGGTGAGGGGAAATATGTTCTGAGAGAGGTGGAGTCTAAGACCCAACCTGACATATAGACACAAACATGCATTCCCACCCTCATCCAACAGAGAGACACACAGAACTGTATGTAGTACACATGCTCACACTCCTCATACAAACACTATACTCCCGGGTCCAGGCACCAGCATCCCCGGAGTGGCAATCCACCCCCAGACCCAGAAGATGGTGAAGAAAACTGAAGGCTCTGCTTCCATTCTACAGGGTGAGCCATTTATATGGATACACCGTAATAACATAGGAATGGTTGGTGATATTAAAGTCCTGTTTGTGGCACATTAGTATATGTGAGGGGGCAAACTCCTCAAGATGGGTGGTGACCATGGTGGCCATTTAGAA